GACTTGGAGGACTCCTGTTGGTACCATATATTGGGCCTCGTCTTTGGGCCTCGTCCCTAAGCCCATGATTTATGTAAAAGATGAGGGAGCCCTTATTCTATAAAAGGGACTCTCATTCACCCTCATAAACAAGGTCTTACCTTCACTAAGAGAAGTCTCACATCCAGAAGATCCAAAGGGTCTCACACTCAACCCTCACAACAATAGAGGGCAATACCCTCTCAGCCAAACAGAGAGCAAAATGGCAAAGGCTACATCCACAGAGAGCTCCCTTGCCGATCTATTATAATCCATACATACATACATATCAACATCAGTGTGGACGTAGCCTAAACATTGGGGTGAACCACGATACATCTTTCTGTTCTTGTGCATTTGTGTGATTCACGGTCGGATTTACGTTAGTCTAAGATCCTCCGGATTTTGTGCATCAACAGAAGTGATGATTCAAGATTGCGACATGAACATTATCCATCGTTTGATTTTCAAGCGTTAGAGCTCGACAAATAGCTACAATTTCAATGGAGACTGGACCGGGGAGTTTGTGCATCGAAGAGGCTTAAAGGAAAAAGATGTTATCGGACTTTACTGGGATCCTTCGAAAGTCGTGTTCATGTTTTCTCTTCTTTAACGGGCAACAAGCCAATAAACCTATTTGGTGTCATAGATTTAGATTAACTCTACATTACTGAAATGTTTTCTAGCAGATCATGATTAATTTTGTTAATCCGTAATCCTGATCTCGAAATTGTAACTAGCTAGTTCGATTACTTACCTTTTTAATTCGTGATTTTGTTTTCTTCATGGCCTCGGTGTTAATTAGAGTGGGGTGGGTAATTCTATATAAATGGGTATTTGCCCTTTCCTCTGTCTAATGTGGGACAGAATGGGGTTCCAACACTCCCTTGCACGTGAGAAATTCCACACATCGGCAACCACGTGGAGTCATGTCGGGACTCACCCAATCGCACGGGGCCACTGGTGACCTACCCAATCACGTGGCAGTACGGGCCCGTCCTCTAGCTCTGATACCATATAGAATTTTTCAGGTCGACATGCCGATGGCTCATTCCAACAACACCGATATTGTCCTCACTTAACCACCTGCACAATCCTCAGGTGTGTGGTTTTATCACAAAAGGCTTCGGTGTTAGTTAGAGTGGGATAATTTTATATAATGGGTCTTTGCCCTTTACTCTGTCCGATATGGGATAGAATAGGGTTCTAACACATACAAATTTCCTTTCTTGTTATAACTTTTGTTTTGGTTAAGCAATTTTAATACGTTGAAATTTGTTGGTTGGAGTCAGCACTTCACTATATATAGTACTAGTGGTCCTTGTTAGACAAGGTCCACATGCAGTTTCATCTACCGTGCTTTGAGGAGTCCATCGTTATCTGAGGAGTTTAGTTTTGTTTGAAAGTGTTACTGGATTAGGTTTCCTTGTTTGTAGGATATGATTTCAAATATGTAATCTGTTGATTTTCTGATTTGTTTGTTTTTCAAACTTCCTTGTAAATAGGGATTTCAAATCCTCAGATGTAATCGTGAAGTTCTTATAAATACAACCATCCCATAGTTGAATGGGTATGCAATCACAATGAAAGAATCTGAATTCTTATAGTCTTATGTGGTTTCTAGAGCTTTTTTTGTCTAACGACAAAGATCCTACTTCTCATTCTTCTCCATCCACGTTTCCATGGCTGACAACAATATTTCCGTTGTTAACTCTAACCCTCAAAACACCTTCCAACCCTTATCCACTATCGTCAATATCAAACTTAATAGAACCAACTACCCACTGTTGTTGGCTCAAATGCTCCCTATTCTGAAAAGTAGAGACCTAATGGGGTATGTTGATGGCACGTTGTTGTGTCCCCCAAAACATGTTGTGAACTCCACCACTGTCAATCTTGCATACACGGCTTGGGTTCAACAGGACCAAATGATCTTAAGCTGGATAAATGGATCCTTGATTGCATCCGTCCTGTCTATGGTGGCGAGTAAAAGAACAGCTCGAACTACATAGGAAGCTCTTGAGCAAAGGTATGCATCTACCTCTCAAAATCGAATTTTGTTTCTGTGAACTGAATTGTTGCAGACTAAAAAATGTGATCTATCCGTGGCTGATTACCTAGATCGCATGAATGCAATAGCTGACAACCTCACTCTTGCCAAGCAACCTATGTCTGATGAGGAACTTGTTCAGATTGTGTTGAACAATCTAGGACCAGCGTTTGAGATGACTGTGAGTGTTGCACAAGCTCAAGATATGCCTATCACGTATCCAACACTTGAATCACTCCTGCTGACTACGAAACACAGAATGACCGAACAAAATGTGCCTTTGGCGAAAGGTGCTACTGTAAACGCCTTTGTTGCTTCCAGAGGCTGTGGTGGTCGTCCTCGTAGTGGTGGGCGAGGCTATGCTTCCAACCGTGATAGGAATCAAAGAGCCTACAATAATTGCAACAACAACAACATTCAGAATAACCAAGGTAATGGTGAAAGGATAGCTTTTTGTGGTGATCGAATTATTTATCAGATTTATGGTAAACCAGGCCATCCCACATTGGACTACTACCAGCGAAAGAATGCTGCCTTTGAAGGAAGGATTCCTACCAAACGTCTCTCGGCCATGACGTCTTCTCCCATCACTCTTAATAAGCAACAGAATTGCTCTTGGCTACTCGACACCGGTGCCAACGCACATATAACTCCAGATATTCAAAATTTGGCCCATCCTAAGGAGTACAATGGTAATAATGGTGTGGGAGGTGTAGGTAATAATTCTGGTATCTCTATTGCACATTTTGGCTCAAATCATCTTCAAACTAATGATTGCTTATTTGATTTACGTGATATTCTTCACTGTCCTTCTGCATCAACCAATATCATTTCTGCCCATAAATTCACCTTAGCTAATGATTGTTACCTACTAATATTTCCACATTTCTTTCCTGTTAAGGACCTTAAGACACGGAAGACGCTTTTCCGAGGGAGATGTGAGAATGGGTTGTACCCATTTCCAAATGGCTGTGGACATCTCAAGCATACTGTTTCTGCATTTGTAGGGCTTAGGGTCTCGGTTCAAAGGTGGCATGCGCGTCTTGGCCATCCTGCGCAACCAATAATAAATTTTTTAGTTTCCAATCAGTTGGTACCCATTCATGGTACCTCTGCTGTAAGTTTTTATGAGTCTTGTCCTTTAGGTAAAAACACTAAGCTTCCTTTCAATGTGTTCGAGCCCATGTCTCAATTTCTTTTGCAACTTATCCATTCTGATGTGTGGTGTTCTCCAATTTAATCCAATGAAGGTTTTCGTTATTATTTGTTATTTGTTGATGACTATTCACGATATTCTTGGGTTTTTCCAATGAAAAACAAATATGAAGTGTTTGAGATATTTGTGAAATTTAAAACTAAAGTTGAGAACATGTTTAATTGCTCCATTAAAACTATACAATGTGATGAAGGTGGTGAATACAAAAGTCATGCTTTCCAACGAGTTTTGGATGTTCATGGTATTTCACAACGTTTTTCTTGCCCTAAACATCCTGAACAAAATGGTTTAGCCGAACGCAAACATCACCACATTGTTGAAACTGCAATTGTCATGCTTTCTCAGTCTTTCATGCCAACTAGGTTCTGGTTTGATGCCTACTCAACTGCTACTTATTTAATAAACCGGTTACCAACTTGAGTTCTGTCTAACATCTCACCTTTCGAAAAATTATTTAAAAAAAGGCCAAAGTATGAAATGTTAAAAGTTTTTTGTTGTCGTTGTTTTCCTTGGTTAACACCATATACCCAAAATAAATTGCAACCAAGATCCAAGTCATGTGTTTTTCTTGGGTATTCATTGGACCATCAAGGATACAAGTGCTTGGATATGTCCACACGATGAGTTTATTTGTCTCGCTATGTTCTATTCGATGAGGACTTCTTCCCTTTTAAAGGGCTCACATCTTCTTCTGAAAGTGTCGTATCACCAGGTAACAATCTTTTACCTGACCTACTTTTTACGTTCCCATTATCCACCGTTTCACCTGAGAGTCCTATTTTGAATTGTCCACCTCCAAATATCTCCTAACTCTAACTCGCTGCTTTCATACCATCCTATCCTGACCCCACTACTTCTCAACCTGACACCTTGCCTCCTAATGTTATCTCTCAGCCTGTCCCAGCTTTACAACCTAACCTGCCCCTAGCACCCTCACCGTCATCAAATGAGCAAGTTTTAGTCGATACTCAACCTCTGCAAGCCACTGTGTCTAGTGATACTGGCCATTCTATGACTACACGTTCCAAATCGGGGGTTTTAAAACCAAATCCAAAATATGTTATGCATGTTGTAGTTGACAAATTTCCTGTTGAGCCTACATGTTTCAGTCAAGCAGTCAAGCATCAGGAATGGCAGGATGTTATGGTGTAGGAATTCAATGCCTTACAGCGGTGTGGAACCTGGAGTTTAGTTCCATATTGTCCTAATATGAACGTGTTACCAAACAAATGGGTATTCAAGCTTAAACAACGAGCAGATGGTACTATTGAACGTCATAAAGCTCGATTAGTAGCAAATGGATATCACTAGATGGCTGGCGTCGATTACACTAAGACTTTCAGTCCCGTGGTGAAACATAGCACCATTCAACTTGTCTTAAGTCTTGTTGTGTCAAAGAAGTGGCATGTACGTCAACTTGATGTTTAGAATGCGTTTCTGCATGGTTACTTGACTGAATAGGTTTACATGGGTCAACCATCGGGGTTCACAAACAAATAGTTTCCCAATTAGGTTTGTAAGTTGCAACGTTCTTTGTATGGTCTCAAACAAGCACCTAGAGCTTGTTTCCAACGTTTCTCTGATTATTTGCTTCAACTCGGGTTTGAAGAGTCTACATGTGATTATAGTTTATTTGTGTTCAATAAACGAGGTGTTTATTTAATTCTCCTTATCTATGTAGACGACATTCTAATCACAGGGAATAGTCCTCGTTAAATGGATCATTTGATCAAGAAACTTGGTAGTTTGTTTTCCATGAAGGATTTAGGAAACCTGAGTTATTTCTTGGGTATTGAGGTAAAATATGAAGGTGATTCCATGCATTTATGCCAATCTAAATATGCCCTGGACCTCCTCTCTGGCGCTAAATTCATAGAAGCAAAACCTATCTCTACTCCGGTGCCGTCTGGTCAGAAGTTAAGTGTTTATGTTGCTGATCCTTGTGTTGATCCTGTGCTATATCGTAGTGTTGTGAAGGCACTCCAATACCTCACGATCACTCGACCTGATTTGTCATATGTTGTGAATCAAGTGTGCCAGTTTATGCACTCTCCAAAGAACACGCACTGGATGGCAGTCAAGCGGATCCTTCGATACTTGAAGGCTACTTATGATCATGGGTTATTGTATAAACTAGGCAATGCTAGGTTGACAGCTTTTTCAGATGCTGATTATGCTGGCAACCCAGACACTCGTCACTCCACAGGTGGTTTCTATGTTTACTTGGATTCTAACCTTGTATCCTGGAGTTCAAAGAAGCAGAAGACGGTAATCAAGTGCAAAGCCTGAGTATAGGCAATTAGCTTATACTGCTGCTGAGTTATCTAGGTTAAGGTCTCTTTATAAAGATCTTCATATGCATCTTGTTCAACTGACCATTTGGTGCGACAATATCTCATCAATTGCTCTTGCATCAAATCTGGTTTTTCACTCGCAGACCAAGTTCTTGGAGGTCAATTACCATTATTGTTCCTAAGAAGGTTGTTCGTGGTCAGCTACTGATTAATTATGTGTGTTCCCAGGACCAACTTGCTAATATTTTCACTAAAGGACTCTCGTCGTCTCGTTTTAAGTTTCTTGTCTCCAAGCTTCCAGTGGTTCCTCCCCCTGTTAGCTTGCAGGGGGGGCTATTAGACGAGGTCCACATGCAGTTTCATCTACCGTGCTTTGAGGAGTCCATCGTTATCTGAGGAGTTTAGTTTTGTTTGAAAGTGTTACTTGATTAGGTTTCCTTGTTTGTAGGATATGATTTCAAATATGTTATCTGTTGATTTTCTGATTTGTTTTTCAAACTCCCTTGTAAATAGGGATTTCAAATCCTCAGATGTAATCATGAAGTTCTTATAAATACAAGCATCCCATAGTTGAATGGGTATGCAATCATAGTGAAAGAATCTGAGTTCTTAAAGTCTTATAGTCTTGTGGTCCATAGAATTATTTAAACACTTAACCTTGCTTTATATTAATAACCTTTGTCAAACTCTTCTGTAAATACCCATTTTTGCTACTTCATGACTTTGTAAAAACTTTCTAGAAAGCACAATCGAGGAGGTTCTGTCTAAATCATCGTGTTAATAAATTAAAATTTCCAAGAATATGTTGCCCCTTAAATGTAAATGACACAAACCACGATTCGGTCACGGGTGGCATTACAATCACGATCCGTGTACAGTACAGATACTTGCTAGATTAAACCACACTCATCTAATTAATGACACATATAATAATGCAAGGGTAATATACAAACTGAGCTTCATTTCTCTTATTTCTCATCAAATATGACATGTAGATACATAGACCAAAAGTCCACTGCAAACATACATAATTATGTTTCAAGTCTCCCACCAATCAATGTCTTGCTTACCCTAATAATATAGAATCACTCAAAATATAAGGTCCATAATAAACTGCCATAATTTCTCCATTATTTTTTCTCATATATATATATATATATATATATATTACTAATACTATAAGATATAGAGAATTTTTATTGGCAGTCTAAAAATCTCATTTGGTACTCCTCACAAATATATTTTTCTTTCTAAATATAGAAAGTTTGTAGTGCAAAATAATAATTTTAGAGTGTTAATTCTAAGATATAATATTATAACAATAAGAGCTATACGTGACATTGACCTTAATTAATTACTGCTCACCATATTCACATGCCAGCCCTCTCAAACCACAATATCGACGTCTTCTTTTCCGCATTGGTCACCCTTGCCTATTTTTGCCAAAAGAGGCGTCAAATCTCTAGGGTGCACGTTAACCCTGAGGCCATACTTCATGAACAATGTCAATGACATCTTTTGCTCAACCCGGTGGCCTGGCACCACCGCGAGACGGTGCCTCAGCAGCACCGCCGCCGCGATTGACTTCATTTGCAAGTAAGCTAAATCCTTGCCTAAGCAAATTCTCGGACCGGCATTGAAAGATACAAATTTGTAAGAATCTTGTGCCTCCATTTTTTTGCCATCAGAAGACAACCACCTCTCCGGCTTAAACTCTAGGCAATCTTCACCCCAAATGAACTTCATGCGACCGATTGCGTAGATTGAATATGTGATTGAAGATCCCGCCGGTACAAAAGTCCCGCTCGGCAAAACGTCGTCTTTGATTGTCTGCTTGGAGTCTTGTGGAACAGAAGGGTAAAGCCTTAGGGTCTCGGACAATGCGGCCTTAAGGTATGTCAGTCGATCAACTTCTTCAAAGAATAAGGGCTCCTTCACCCACTTGGAAGTATCACTGCCACGTGCCTCCATCAGAACGGTGCAAATTTCAGAGAGGATTTTCTCCTCCACTTGTGGGTTTTGAATCACCAACCAAAAGAACCAACTGAGCGCGACGGATGACGTGTCACGTCCAGCTAGGATGAAGTTGAGCGCCACCTCTTGGAGAAATTTGTCGGAGTAGGAATTTTTCTTCATGAACCGAGACAACAAGTCATCATGTGGGGTCCCATTGCAAAGACCTTGTTGCTGGCTTTCCAACTCGAGCTTACGGGCGTCGATGATAGCGGATAGGTATTTATCGATGTGATGGAGGCTATGGTTCAAGCTGACTTCCATTCCGAGCCCAAGCCATTTTTTGAACTTCCAAATGATTTCAGGCAAGATAAAGCGTTGCAACGTGGCTTCCGTGGCTCGGTCGAAAGCATTTGCGAATTCATTTTCGGGAAGGCCCGGAGCTAGCGTCTGTGGGTCTTTCCCGAAGGCCAACCCGCATATGTTATCGAAAGTGAGACGGAGCAAGAGATCTTGAAGATCTACAGGCTTAGCTTCGTTCTGAGCCGTCTCAAGAATCGGGCAAAACCTAAGCTCGATGGCTCGGCTCACCCAACGGGCCATGGCTTGGCGGAGCGTTCGGGTGGTGAATTCCAGTGCCGCCGTTTTACGCTGGAACAGCCACGTGTCACCATCACTGTTGAAGATCCCATCACCAAGCAGATCATGGAACACAGCTTGCCAGGTAGGACCCTTGGGGTAATTATCAAACCGAAGCTTCAAAATGTGCTCCAAGTTCTTGGGGTCGCATGTGACAGTCACGAGCCCTTGCTTGCGTGCCAGGAAGGGAATGGCACAGGTGCACGTCTGGTAGGTGCCACAGCACGCGCGGAGATTATCGGCGATCCAGTCGTGCATCCGGTTCACGTTCTGGATGAGACCCGGGAGGCTGCCGACTACCGGCCAGACACGTGGACCGTACATTGACCGTGAGATCATCTTGAACCAAATTAAATACGCCGCTATGGCTGATAAGATCATTAAAGCCATTGATGCCTCCATCTAATAACTGATTAGCAAGCCCCCGCTTGAAAATATTTAAACCACTTCACTTCCCAGTAATACGAAAGTTAACCCCTGACCCAAGTAATTAAACTGATCCAAGAAAAAATGGACGGACAAGCAAGAACATGAAAAATTACCCGTATCGAAACTGAAGGGCGAAAGAAATCCCAGATAAATTGTGAAGAAAAATGAATATCTGGCTGGCTAGGGTTTGGAATGTGAGATCTGTATTAGGGTTTCTGCGACAATGTGCATGATGAAGGAGAACAAGAAGAAGAAGAAGAAGAAGAAGAAGATGGAGAGTGAGGCAATGAATAAAGGAAAGTAAAAGAAAAAATGTTACTTATAACACGACAGAGGAGGGGAGAAGAGGGGCCGGGGAATAAATAGGGAGGCTGAAAAAGCGGTTCGTTTCTCTTTTTCTTTCTTTTCAGTCCATTAATTTCCTTTCACTGTCTCTCAATTTCTCTCTGATCATTCATATACAAGAGAAATTATCAAGAAACGATGGAGCTTTAGAGGAAAATCCCATGAATTTCTCACCTAATTTGGAGGAAAGTGCACCTTCATTTAAAATTTTCGCATTCAATAAAGGAGTGTGGGAGTTAATGAGATTAGTTGAGCAAGCCTTATACATGTGTACTTGTTTGGACCCGATTTTACACCATCGGCCCAAGTAATCGAGGCCGTTGGGTAAGCAATTTTAAAGGATAGTATTATGATTTTTATCGTAATATTTATCCGTTAATATTAATTACTCTTGGCATATTCTTATTATATTTTCAAGCAAGCAGTACAGTTCGAGTGGGCTTGGAATTCTTGTTATCAGATTGAGATAACATGATGGGTGTGATTAGAATTGTCAAGATGCATGGTTTTCTTCTATGCGTTGGATGCCAAGATGAAATCTCTGATAATGGAGCCGCTCATATCCTAGATGGGATAATTATTAGCATAAAAATATATGCTAATATATGCAAATTGGTTGGCTGACTCCATCAAATCCTACGGCCAAGGACCAATAAGGATGTGGAGATTTTGAATTAAACAAAGTTTTATTTGGTTGGATAACTGCATGATGACCTCATGCGATTATATTTGTTTGATCCCGTCAAACATGGATGCTTTTTCATGGTCTTTTTAAATTGGTAATGATCCAATTTGAGATAAGGGTTGATGGGAGTTTAATCCGCACATGCAAACCACGCCACATATCAAATACAATTCTTTGAAGATCAAGCCACGTCAGGCATGCTCGTTCCTATAAATACAAGGCTACAAACAATGGAAAAAGCCCCGACAAAATCAACACAAAATTGCCCTGCGCAAACTCTCACAACTTGAGATCTTTTTCTTTTCCTTTTTCGCTGACACATCTTCCGTTGGCATCAACAGCACTGTGGAAGCAACCGGTGATATCTTAAGTCGGCATAGATAGCTCTGTCACCGTAGAATTGGTCGGTCTCGCAGTATCTTCCGTTGGCATCAACAGCACTGCGGCGAGAACGGTCGATTACCTATCCAAGTCTCGGTCGAGAAGGGTTTTCGAATCCTTGTTGGTCGAGGTCATCTCATTAGCCTTCTCGGCGAGGTGAGGTGTCACAGTTATTACATTCGGCACATTGAAAGCCGAATTCGGTTCGTGAACTTTGTAAGAAATAGCAGCCTTGTCTTCAGGCTCGAGAACCCAAGAGGCCGAGACGTGTTCCTTTCTCGGCCGCAATCGCAAGACGCAGAAGTCAGTAGCGCGACCCAACGCAACATCATCAAATTTACTCCTCGGCCGAGCCTCGGCCGACGAGTTGGCACGCCCCGCAATCACCGAAGGACGTAGTTAGCTTAGAATATACTCGGCCTGCGCGCCACGTAGGCTTGGTAGTTTCTAGGGTCAACATTTTGGCACGCCCAGTGGGACCTAGTGCTAAAACTACGAAGTTCACATGATAGATCAAGATGTCAATCTAGCTCCATTTAGCCGATTACACGAGCTCCTAGAGGAATTGAAAAAATACAATGAGGAACAAAAAAGATCTTTGGAAGTGGAAAAAGTTCTTCGTGGCCATAGAGAGATGCAAAAGTCATTCGCTTACATGGTGAGAATAAAAGCTCCTGTTACCTTGCAAGAGCAATGGGTAAATGAAGACAGGGCTCGATTTAATGCATGGCTAGATGAAGAACGTTTTCCTTACGTTTCTGATTACAGATCAATTCCATTTGAAAAATGGTTAGGTCCAAAGGTCGGGGGGCAATTTTTCGCTCCAGCCACAATCAAAATTCGGCCTCAAAAAATTGTTAAGGTGGCCGAAGAAATATGTAAGCCACCTGTTGTTTCGGTCGAGACTCAAAGTGTGGTAGGCCTAAAAGAAAAAGTTGAAGTTTCCGAGCCAAAAATCGACTCA